GCCCCGGCAGGGCCACGGAGCCACGTCCCGGCGGCAACCGAGGAGAGGAGGTGGCAGAGCCCGGCCAACGGCCACTCTGCTTCCCCGGGCACCCACGGGACGCAGGGCAGGGCTGGCCTTCCCCTGCTCCTGCACCCCCCCAGGGGCAGCAGAGCACACGCCCGGGGCAGAGGCACCCAAAACCCACGCTCCCTGCCGCGGGACCCCCGGCCCCCCCTCCGGCGAGGCCGCAGGACCCACCTTTCACAGAGAGCTGGGACTTCTCGCAGGGCGGCCCGGCCCTGGCCCTGCTGGAGCTGGCAGCGGCCATGGCATCACCCCTGGCTGGAAGCAGAGAGGAGACGCCTCAGCACCACCCCCACCGCGCGGGGGAAGCCAGGGCTGCACTGGGGTCCCAGCTCAGCCCCTGTGGGCCCGAACGCAGCCCAGCCTTTACCGCGAGTGACCCGCGTGGAGGGGAGACTCAGCAACGGCCAGGCTCACGCCTGGGGAACACAGGTTCCCTCTCACTGCGGATACCCCAGCCCCCGCTGCACCCTAGGGAGAGGAACCCCCCCCCTCCAACGGCACCACCACGGCCCGAAGAGATCCCAAGCTGGGCAGCGCTCAGCCCTCCGGACACCCCATCCGGGCAGCCACAGCTCACAGCCTGACACCCTGACCGCAGCCGGCACGAGGACAGAGCCCTCTCTAAAGCCTTCAGCAAACACTGCCTCACGCCCTGCTCCGTGCTGCGCGAACAGCGGCACGGCCACTGCACGAGGGATCCCTGCGAAAGGACGAGGCGGTGACACCGGCAGAAGAGAGGAAGGTCAAGTCACGGTGTGGGGAAGCAGCTGCATCCCTCACAGACAGCTCAGGTCACCTCCTGGCAGCAAAATCCCACAGAAAAATCAGTCCCGTCAACTCTAACACGCCGTGGAGGTGACAGGGACCGCAGCTGCTCTGGACACAGAGAAGGACCACGCTGCGGAGCAGGCTGCAAGCCCAGACCTCCGCTTCCTGGAGCGCTCACCACTTCCTCACCCTCCGGAGCCACGTCACTGTCACCGCAGGCACGGTGCTTCCCCCTGTCCCTTCTGCAGCTTTCCCCAGAGCCATCCGCCAGGGACGGGGCGCGGGCAGGAAGGACACTGGCTGTAACACCCGGGGACGCTGGCAGGGCACGTGGCCGGGCACCTCTGCCAATGCGGCCGACCACGAAGCAGGAGGATGAGGTCACGTATCGTGCAGGAGCACGAGGTGCTCAGCCGGGACCACAGAGTCAGCTCTTGACTCAGACCGGCTTCCTGAGCCTGCGGGCTGCGGCCCTCCTCAGCACGTCCCGGGCAGAGGAGCCGGGGAGGACACACCGAGGGCGGGCGGGTGTCAAGGTCACGGACCAGAGGGTCCCTGCCCAGGCAAGCCCCCGACACGATGGGGCAGCCAGGGGGATCTGCTGCCCACCTGTGGGCAGGAGCAAAGAGGAGCTTCAATCCTGTTGCCTGGGGCAGCAGCAAGGGCTCAGACAGGGTCAAACCCGATTCCCCCTCCAAGCCACCAAAGCCAGGAGCACCCCTCCTGCCTGGCCCTGGGCCGGGGCACCTGCCAGCACCCGGAGGAGGGAAGTATGAAGAAGGGAAAAGAGCATCTCCAGCAGTTCCAGCCTCTGCCACCTCCCTCCTTCTGCAGGAGTCTCTCTCTTTTTCCTGCCTCCTCCCCACAGCCTCACCAGACCTTACCAAGCTCCATTCCAAAGCCGGGTTCCTTTGTAACTCCCCTCCCATGAAGAGTCCACTCTCCAACCCCTTCTCCCAGCCCCATGTGACCTCACCCCCCCCAGCAGAGCAAACCCACCCTGTGCTCCGCAGAGACCTGGCCAGTGCCCTGGACAATCCCCCTCTGCCCGCAGAACCCCGTTTGGTACCTGACCTGCCGCTGCCTCGGCTCTATCAGACGGTGGTCGGGGGTTCACCGACACAGGCCCATCTCCTCGCCCCCAGGAGCGGGGGAGAGCTGCCTTACAGAGGGAGGTCCTTCACAAGCCTAGTTACATTTGCTATTACTACGCTTCGTCCTACCCCAATTACGCCAGCCCAGAGACCACCCCGGCCTTCCCTCAGGTTACGGCCATTCCTCGTGTTTGTTCTGACTCCCCAGCTCCGCATCACCGTTCGCAGCCCGCAGAGAACAGCCAGGCACACGCGTCCCTGGGAAGCTGCACCTCCTGCGCCCCGCTGCGACCAGCTCCTGGGCTAAACCGAGCAGGGAACTCGTCCTTCAGGGCCCTTCTCACACTAACACGGGTGACCTGCGCCTCTAAGTTACCGTGGTAAGACCCAAGGGTCGCTCCCCTGCAGCGGGGACCCCGGATCTCCAGTTCTTCCTCAGAGCTGCTGCTGCTGCTTTCGCTCTTCTCCAGCCGCCCCCCACGGCGCCAGCAGCCGCCAGTTCTGCCCCAGGAGTCGGTTTGGGGTTCGTTAATCACCGAGCATTGCCGGTTACAGAGGCATTTCCACTTCCCAGTCCTCGCTCCACACCCCCGTCCCCTCGCAGCCCTGCCGTTCCCCCCATCCCCACCGTACCCCAGCGCCGGGGCACAGACCAGAGC